GGCATGGTTGGGGGGCAGTGGCATGGCTGGGTGAGAGCCTTCTAGGCAATGGTCCTGGTCTCAAGTGATTCAACGTTAGCAGAGCAGGAGCACGTTTGAATCCAAGAAGGTCATTAGGAGCAGCAAACGCTGCAGCCAGGGGCCCCCCAGGCGTTCCCGACGGGAAAGGGCAGCGCTGCTGCCGTCCTTGCAGCCTGCAGGAGCTGCCCTCCCACCCCTTGCACACACAGGGCGTGTGGTGCGATAAAGCCGTTTCCCGAGCCAACAGGCGAGCGACGTAGACATGAGCGCGGCTTCTAGGAGAAACCACTTCACCGCCACCAAGGACCCCAGCAAACGGTGATTCTCCCCCTTTGTCCCCCTGTCTCACAGAGATCCAGTCTCAGCTCCGCATGGTGACACACGGCCAAGGGACTTTGACCGTCTTCGTAGGTCTTAATGGCTCATGGGAAGAGCTGGGGCTGGAGCCGGCCAACTACTTCATCTACCCAGGGAATGACCTGGAGGAAATGTAGGTTGGGCTTCACCTTGGCCAAGCTGCGTTTGCTGTAAGGAGACGCATTCCCGGGTGGTGACTCAGAAACCCCTCCTGGCAGATCCCCCCCTCCGCGTGGGGAGTTGGACGTAGCCAGTGCTCGCGGCAGTTTTGGGTCCCGGGCAGGCACTGGGGCTCTTGCGCAAGTGAGTGCGAACATCGGGCCCTGGAGTAGAGAAGAAAGCCCTGAGCCCCAGGGTCTGTGGGGCTTTTGGGAGGGTAGGCTGTCCCGCTGAGGCACGGGTCCAGCTTTTGGCTGTGGCCCCTTTGGTACGGGAGAAATCCTCGTATCCTCACGGCCTCGTATCTCTCCGCAGAACCAATCGCTACCTGGCTTCCTCCAGAGAAGAAGCTGCCCAGCACATCCCCCTCCTGTTTGTCACCTGCCCGTCAGCCAAGGACCCCACCTGGGAAACCAGGCACCCAGGTGACGGCTCAAGCCCAGCCACATGTGCTCAGGAGTGGCTTGAAAATGCGTCCTTGGGTTTCACTTTGACTGATGACCGCAACCATGGAGGTTCTCCTAAAATAGTCAAAGCTGCCCAGCAGGTTGCTTGGCGCAAGTGGTCTTCAAGATAATGGGATGAAGGAGATGGGACCGCAAAGAGCGGGGGAGGCCTGAGGGGTTTGCGTGGGGAGGGTTGGGATTGCGGCAGCGCAAGGGTGGCACGAGGGTGGGCAGAGGGACAACTGCCCCAACTGTGTCCTGCTGCAGGTAAATCCACGCTGGCCATCATGACCTTCGCCAGATACGAGTGGTTTGAGGAGTGGAAGGACAAGCAGGTCACTAAGCGGGGGGACGATTACGAGGAGCTGAAGAAGACCTTCGTGGACACCGCCATGCAGGCTGTCTTCAAGCTCTACCCTCGCATCAAGGACCGGGTGAGGAAACCTGGGGTTTGTGGGTCCTTCACCTCCTCTCCTGGGTCCTGTCCACCCAGCCCTGTCCTGCAAATGCAGGAACTGGGCCTGGGTCTGCTGGACACGAGGGCAGCGCCACACCAACCCATTGCCACTGCCTCCTGACAATGCATGGTGCAAGGGGGGGGTGATGGTCCTCCAGTGCCATCCTGGCACCAAACCTGGCCAGAACCAGCACCCAAGGGTCTGTGAGGAAACCTGTCCCAGCCCGTACCCCCTGAGAACAGCTTTCCTGGGCATGAGACCCCCCCAGCACCGTGCCTACCCCCTGCAGACCACGTTGTCCCCTTGTGGCCCCCAGATCGAGTACATCTCTGGAGGGACACCCCTCACCAACCAGCACTACATCGCCAGCCCCAGGGGGCAGATCTATGGCATTGAGCACAGCCCTGCCAACCTGCAAGCTGAAGCCCTTGCCACCATGAGGGCGCAGACGGCCATCCCCAACCTCTACCTGACAGGTACCATGGCCACCGCCTGGGCACCATGGTCTCAGAGGAGGCCACCTCTGGGGGAGCAGCAAACGGGGGAAGAAAAACCTTCAAAGAAACGGGGGGACTAGGCGCTGCCATGCCATGGGGTGATGCTGCTGGAGGACGCCTACGTGGAGCTGCATGGTCCCAATGGCAGGAGGAAAGGGCTGTCCCTCCTCCAGCTCCTGGGTGTTGCCCCCCTGCCCGACGCTGATCCTGGGCAGGATGAGGCCCTTTCCCTGCTGGGGAGAAGGGGCAATGGTCAACTGGGGCTGCTCATCGGTCCCCACCGCGGCCACTGCCATCGCCACCTCCCGCTCTCATCCAGGGCAGGATTTGTGCCTCGGGGGCTTCATAGGAGCCCTGCAAGGAGCCTTCATCTGCGCCAGCGCCGTCCTCAAGCGCAACCTCTACGCCGACGTGGTGTGGCTGAAGAAGCGCGCGCAGGCCACCAGCGCCAAGAAGCAGTGCTGACGCCTGCCGTCCCTCTCCCCCCAGCCCGCTGATCACCCCCAGTGCCTTATTTTCAGCTGCTGAGCACCCCTAGCCCACCCTGCTCTAACGCAAAGCTGAAAGATTACAGCCCAGGAAGATGTCGTACCCATTTCCAGCCGGCTTGCCTTGCACCTTGCCTGCCTAGAGCTCACCTCCTTCCACCACAATGTCCACTGCCAGCCGGCAAAACCAGCGCCGATCCCTGGCTGCCCTTTGGAGGGCAACCCCCCTCTCCCGGCACCGGGACGAGGGGCTCCAAAGAGCAGCAGCGGCCAGGAGGGAAGAAGCCAAGGCAACCCCCAAAAACCCAGCTGCACCAGAAGGCAAAACCCAACACCTTCAACCAGCAACACCCATGGCAGCCACCGGGACCATCAGGGGAGCATCAACCACTTGCCCCCCACCCCCCTCCGGGCCTGCTGCGTCAAGGGGAGCGAGTCCCCCCGGGGATGCTTTCCCTCTTTTTCGGGCGGCAGCTTTGGTGCCGAGCCGGGCTCCTGCAGCTCCGCGTGGGGACGCAGCAGCCCCGGGGGTGCGGAGGCAGAGGAAGCAGCACCTCCCCGCGCGGGGGCTTGCCCGGGCAGCACCGGGCAGGTTTGGTAAAGCCCTGCCAGCCGCGGGATGGGCACCAGCTCCACCGCAGGCAAGGGGCCACCGCGCCAGCCCGATCCCCAGCACCGTAACGAAGCCGCTGGTGGGCACGGGCCTTTGGGAAGGAGCTGGCTCCCGGCTTGGTGGGGTGGTTGGGGTAAGCCGGTCCCTCCAGCACGGTTTAAGCCAGCTTTAACGCTATCGCAGAGCCGCAGCCAGCCGGTGCCCAGCAGGCAGGAGCACCCCCCAGGCACACAGCCGTATTTTAGTGCTGCTCTACCCTCCCTCGCCCCGAGATGGGGCAAACCCCCTCCCCCCCCCCCTTTAGCAATAACAAACCTCTCTGCTGGGAAAAGGTTGGGAAGCCCTTGGGGGAAGGGAAGCATGTGAGAGCAGAGATTAATAAAATAACGAGAATCGCCTCGTGATTTGCCCCGTGTGACGCGGGATCAGGCAGGGTGGGGTGAGGGGGTTGCTTTCCGACAGTCCGGGTCGGGAAGGTTGGGAAGGGGAGAGGGGACGCGGTCGAGACCTGTCCTTGCGAGCGTGTCGCTCATTGTGCGCCGGCACAGAGGGTTTGGGGGGGGTGGGGGGGTAACTGCCCTAAGTGGGTGCCCCAAGAGGGTGGGACCAGCCCACCAGTGCCTCCCGCCTGCCTGGGAGTGGGCAGGGTCAGGCCGCACTGGCCAAAAAGCCGGGGGAAGCTGGAAGGGGTCATTTTCCCCGCAGTCAGGGACGGGAAGCAGGAATTGCCCGGCTTTTTGGGGAAACAAAGTCTCAGCCCTGGTGGGAAAGGCAGGGAGGGGTGGCCTGGTGCTTCCTGCTCTGCGGGCATTCCCACCCCCCAGCCCCTCAGAGAAAAAAAATTCTCTTTTTTTGTTTTTTCCTTTTCTTCCCCCCATTCTCCCCATGTGCCCCAGGCTGGACAGTGCCAGCCCAGCCCCCCCGCATTGCCCCTTGAACAGCCACGCTGGTGCTGAGTCAGCCGGCGGGATGGGAGACGCTCCCCTGGACTTCCCGAAGGAGCACTCGGGGCTCGCTGCCCGACGAGCCCAACTGCTGCGCCGGCACAGCGGGGCTTTGGGGACCACCGGGCCACCCCAGGGGACAGCCCAGCATGGCCCAGCCGCGGCCAAGCCGGGCTCTTCTCATCGTCAACACCGATTTTGGCGGTGACCCGGAATTTGGGACCCGGAGAGGAGCCAAGAGGGAAGCGGAGAAGCTTTCCAAGGTGCTCTCCCGGCTCAACTACGAGGTGAAGCTGATGCATAACCAGACAGCCAAGGAGATGGAAGACCTTTACCGGCAAGGTACGCGCCCTGCTGCCAGCCCCTCAGCCCCCTTCTCATCCTCCCCCAGCCCAGCTCGCCCTCATTCCCCACCCCCAGACCCAAGCACCCTCTGCCACAGCCCGCGTCAGCGCTTGACGGCATCGCTTGGGCCGTGTCTTTGCAGAGAGCGGCTGTGAGCATGGGGAGCACTTTGTGAGCATCATCTCCAGCCATGGAAAGGAGGGGGTCATATTCGGTTGTGACTCGGAGCCGCTTCAGCTCCCACGGATTTTCCAGATTTTATCCTCGGGGAAGTGCCCAGTGCTCACCAAAATACCCAAAATCTTCTTTATCCAGGTAACACCACCATTGGATGATCATTTGATCCCCTCCTTGCTAAGTTTGCACAGAATTAGACTGACACGAGCCCAAAGGCATAAATCTGCGTGAACGGCATTTTGGTACAGCCACGGGTGAGCTCGGTCCCCTCGCTGCTCCCCAGCTTCCCACCACACCCCTCCATCCCTCTCTTGTCCTGCTTCCACCAATTTGGAAGCTCGTGCTCTCCTCTCCCAGCCTCTCATCACCCATACACGTGTCCCTGCTGCGGGAAACAGCCTCGGTCTTTCCTGTGGTGCCTCCAGCCAGGAGCGTTTCTCCCGGTGCTTTGCACCCTCTGGACTCCCTGGGTCAAAGCTGAATTATTTGCCGGGAAACACAACCTTGCTGGGATCAAATCTTCCTCCCAGACACCACCAGGATTGGTAAAAGCTGCCTTCAAATCCCAACACCATGGCATTTGGGGACAGCAATCCCCCTGGGGTAGGGCTGGGAGGAGCCCAGCTGTGAAGGGGACTTGCGGGGGGTGGGTGGTAGAAATAAATAAATCAATAAAGCCCACAGCTGGTTCCAAAGCGTTGAGGAGCGTGAACGTGGAAGTATGCCCTAACACTGCTCTGACAAGGGAGGATTAGATCCCTTGAACAAACAATCTGGCAACGGCACAGATACCTGCCGGTAGCGTGAGCCCTGCGAGCATTATGCAAATCTACAGGAGTCTTTTCACCCGAAAACAAGGCTAAATCACTCACGGCATTTGGGTTCTTCTGGCAAAGGGCTTGGCTGCTGTTCAGGGAGAGGCAAGAGCCAGGGATGTGCCCCAGGCCAAGCCAACAGCCTCGGAGACTGGTCTGGGCACCTCGATCAGCAAGCAAAGCTCGTGCTTGTGCTGACAAATGCTGTCCTCGTCGAGCAGCCACCGCCTGGGCCGGAAGAGAAGGGCTGCTTCCCCTTCGGCATCGCCACGGCTCTCAGGTCCCTGCGGCTCCCGCTGGCCTCCGTCCCCCTCTCAGTTCAGTGCCGGGGTGTTGCGGCCAGCTTGCAGGCATCTCTGCGGGCCGCGTCCCCAGGGAGGATTTAACGGCCAGCATTGGCAGGGGGTTTGCACAGGGAGAGGAGAGGGGATGCTCCGCTCTCCCCTAAAGCTGGGACTCATCCACTGCTGCCCTTTGGGCTGGGCCCAACCACCGCGTCCCAGCAGAGGTGGCCACAGGGAGGGGTGACACGTGCCCTCAGAGCAGCCTCAGCAGCGCTTAGTCCCTCTCCAGTGCCTTCCCAACGCCAGCCCGGTAACTCCGTCCCTGCAGGAGAGACCAAAGCATCATGTAGAGTAAAGGACTGGGCTGCTCTCCAAGGGAAACCTCTGCCAGCACGTTCCCAGTGGAATTCCATGCTTCCAGGTGTATTTAGGGGTTCGCACGTGCAGCACCGCATTTACTGGGGAGGGGTAAATGCAACAAGAAGGGGATCCAGCCTCGTGAGAAATGTGGAGGGAAGAGAGGGGGGAGCCCCATCTCCAGGCTGGTCGGGAAGAGAGGGGGGAGCCCCATCTCCAGGCTGGTCGGGAAGAGAGACTTGGCAAACCTAAGCTGCGATGGATGATAAGGGAAGAGGCTGCTCCATGGATGAGAGGAGGAGGGGGTGGAGGCGGGAGAAGAACCACGTGGGGCTCAGGGAATGGGAGTCAGGAGGGGCTCTGCACCACGGGGTGGGTCATAGGCTTGGCTTGGAGGGGGCTACAGGTCCACAGGGAGCCCACGGAGCCCCCAGGAGCTTTAGGCTTGCCCTGGAGATGGGCAAAAGGGAGAGGCAGACGCTCACAACAGACGCTCTGCCCACAGGCTTGCCGGGGGAAAGAGCTGGACCACGGAGAGGTTCTGGAGTGCGACAGCGGGGGGCCTGAGCCAGAGCGCGAGGCAGACTGCTTCTCCGTCTACCTCTCCATGCCGCCCCAGACCGCCGTGATGTTCGCCTGCAGCCCAGGTAAGGGAGAGCCCCTGCCACGCCAACGCCAGCCGAAAACATGACCGTGTAGCCATGACAGGGCCACGGCACAGCCAACGTCGCTCTCCTTCCTTTACACTCCGCAGGCTACGTGGCCTTCCTCAACATCTCGGGATCCATGTTCCTTCAGGCCCTGCTCAAGTTCCTGGAGGGAGAGGAACGTCACCTGGCCCTCAACCGCCTCATGACCCGCATTAACTGGGAGGTGGCGTTTCGATGCCAGGCCAGGGGCACCTACGAGGGATGCAAGGAGATGCCCTGCTTCGTCACCAACCTGCTGCAGGAGGTGTTCCCCTTCTCAGCACCCATCGTGGAGGAGGCTGACAGTGTTTGAGAGCTGCCCGCTCCGCAGAAAAGCTAGGGAGGGGAAGAGCAGGAGCTTGGCTGCAAGATGTCCCCTGTCATGCATGGAAAAAAAGGGACAAGTTAGGAGAAAACCAACAGAAAACCCCTCTGGAAGGGTGACCGGCTCCACCTGGGATGTGCTGGAGCTGGCCGGGGGAGGCTGTAATGAGCCAAGGGCATCTGGGATCTTCTGCAGAGCAGAAACATCCAATTTAGGGACACGATGGGGCCGCAACACCCAAACGCCCTACAGCAGCAGCTCCACACCCCAGAGGGGGCTGTAAACCTGATTTTCTCCCCCTTATTTTCTTACACAGAAGAGCTTCAACCTCACAAATGCAATCTCACCCATTTTGGTGTTTGTTCTCTTTTTTAATCTCAACAAACCTGCGTAGGCCATGGACTTCTGTCTGACAGAGAGGAAGCCGATGTGTTTACCTGGCTGGTGCCCTGCCCATAATGAAAACACCGCTGCCCTGCTGTCAAAGAACACCCTGTGCTCAAGCTGTTTGTTCATGAGGCTGTTTAAAAATTCAAGGCTTTAAAAAAATTAAGATATGGGGTGGTTAGCACGGCTTGTGGTTGGTGGGCTACATCAGGACCAGGAGCAGAGGTTGGGGAGCAGATTTGGGAGCATTTGCTCAAGGTAGCTCTCAGTTCCCGACAGATAACTGGGTCTTTGCGAGCTTCCTTCTTAGGTGAGCAAGGGGAGAGGGGAAAAGCTGTGGCCAGGATGGGCTGGGGCACCTCACGGACCCAAGGGCTTTGCTCAAGGTCCTCCCCTCCCGTTCTCGTTGATACCAAGCATAAAGCACAAAAGCCACCTCAATAAAGAAGCCTGAACGGCTCCTGAGCAGACTGCAGAGACAAGGCTGGTCTGTGAGACAGGGGTCAGACCCTCAGATAGCCAGAGGAGGAGGAGGGAGAGGTTGAAGGGGATGAAGACCTCCACCGAAGTGGGCAGAGTCTCCCCTGCGCTCGTGCATTCAACCTGCACCACCTCCACCCTCCGGGCCTCTCGGATGAACTCTGTCGTCTCTCAGCGCAGTCACGAGCAATTCAGCTCCAATAAGCAGAGCCCAACCCAGCTGGCAGGTAATTTTGGTTTCATTTATCATTTTTTTTCCACACCTGGACTTTGACTCATGGGTAGGCGTGGGGTGCAGCTACCCCAACACAGCCCACGCTTGGCACTCACCGCGTCCTGGCACACGCGACGGGATGCTCCTGCCGTTGCCTCTCCTCCAAAAGGCCTGCAGGGCATTTCCTTCCCCCCTATTTTCACTTGACCTGTGGGAATAGAACAGTTTTGAAACTTTTACAGCACTCTTGGAGCAAGGTGGAAGCACGCAAGGGGTTCAGAGAGCTTGGGGGGAGGCTTGGAGGAGCGCTCAATCCAACAACCCCCAGAGAATTTTCGTTTTAATCCCCCACTCCCACCCTTTTTACCGCCCTCAAGCTCTCAGCAACCCCATCAACAGGAAAACAAGGGGTCCTCCCCTTCTCCTAGCCTGTCCTGGGCACTCGTGTCCAGCCAAGTTGGAGGAGAGCGCAGGAGGGTGGATTTGAGGGAAAAAGTGGGGGGAAAGGAGGAAGTTTCTTCCATTTACTACAGGGAGCAGCAGTAAACGCTGCCCAGAAGCGCCCTCATCTCTGCCGCCTTCTCTTCCCCTTTCCGCGGCGGCTCGGGCAGCAGCATCCCACGCCGGCCGCGGCACCAGTAGGCTTCCTCCTTCCCAGTCTCTCCCAGTCTCGGCTGCTCAGAGGAGAGAGGCTGCGCTGGGATCGGGCTGCGTCCTCCTCAGAGCCTCCCTGTGGGCGAAAGAAGAAATACAACAGGAGAGATGCAACCCGAGCTCAGTTAAACCCCGTTTTAAACTCGGTCTTGAGGTCAGGCCCTAAAGAACCCCGCGTCCCGGGGACGGAGGCGGTGGAGAGGAACGGGGTTGCCGATGCAGGGAGATCGTGAAGCAGACTGGAAACGTTTCAAAGCCACTCTTGGCTGAAACCCGTCTCGGCTCCTTCCGGCTGTGGGGTCGGTTGGTCACGCGAACACGAACCGCTCAGCTCAAATACCCTTGGTTTTGTTAAGAAAACCCTTTTTTTTGGCACAAAGAGGAAGTAACCTGCACCACCGCCACCAGGTTTCAAAGGAGACCGTGAAAAGAACACTCACAAGAAAAAAAAAAAAAAAAAAAAAAAAAAGGTGAGAACTCCTTATTTATTTTTCTTAAATCCATTTATTGGCTTTACCACACAGGGAAAAAAAAAAAATACAAAGAAATATAAAAATTCTGATCCTTCAAACCAAGTTGCATTTCACTGCGGCAGAAAACAAAACCATCTGCGGATTCAAACTGGCGAGGCAGTGGGCCTAAAAGCAGCAACAAATTGCAAACCAACGACGTACCGACGGGTACCACCCATCCCAAAAGGGGTGGTGTCCAGGGGGAGAAGGTTCCGCGCACCTTCATCCGCCTGAAACGTGTTGTGTGAACTTAAACACCATAAAAATCACCGAACCGCTGGTGTTCCCGGAGGTTTCACGCAGCTCGGACAATGGCAGCGACTGTTGCTGGAGACACCGCGCTTGGGAATGGTGGGGTTGGAGATTTAGGGGGGGATTCCCCCCCTGATTCAGCCTGGCAGCAGCTCTGTCTCTCCCCAAACCCCGCGATTCCCCGGCACCGGGAATTTTGTCCATGCTGGGCATGGAGCAAACCAAAGCGATGCGCGTCCTCGTTAACCTGACGAGCGTGCCCGGTCTGACCGGACAACGGGGGTGTTTGAGGTACGGCGGTCCTGTCCTCCAGCGCCTCGCTGTTCACTGCTAACGGGGGTGGGATTCCCAGCTCGGACCGACAGAGGACTGAAAGGGCTTTTGGAAAAGCGCACGGGGTAGGAGAGCAAGCAGCTGGTGACGAGAAACCTTTGTAAATTACTTTTTCAATTAAAAAAAAAAAAAAATTAGGACAAAGCAGGAAAACAGCGCACACGCGCTAAAAATTCAAGAATGAGCAGCTTGGAAGCACGTGGTGTTTCACATGTCGGACTACGTTGGGGTTTTTTTCCTTCCCCCACCCCCGCTGTCATTAAACAAAAGCCACCACCTCCCACGCTGCATCCTGCCCATAAATCAGCTGCGCAACAGCAAGCTCCAACTT